AATTTCAACTTCCTTTTTTATTAAAAAAAAAAAAAAAAAAATACAGAATTGTGAGTGGAGTTTATCTCTCACAATTCTGACTTTTTTCTCAGAATTGCAGGAAAAAAAGCCAGATTTATAAGATACAGTCAAACCAAAATTTATTCAGACGCCTTCAACATTTCTCACATTATCACAGTTTATTCGCTATAGTTTAGAAAATGGTAATAAAATGTCAAGAACTGTCAGAATAAATTCATCTTGATAATGTCAGATAACTTTGATAGAAAGGTATGTAATGAATTCTGCTGTTAAATTTAAGAACACAATTAGATAATACCAATTTAGCTCAACCAATTACATAGCCTTGCTTAATTTAGTTCAGTCTGTGGTGTAAAAAGATCACATTAGAAATTAAAGAAAACACACAGAGGCAAAACATGCTCAGGTCAAAGTGTCTGAATAATTTTCAGTCCCAAATTTTTGGGTATGTCACAGTTTATTTATTTTGCTATCCTCGCTTACATAGACAAACTATAGTGTCCTGCTACTAGTAAAACAATATCTGGTGTCGTGGTTTGACTGTAAAAGGCGCACTGTGCGTGTCCTGTGGATGCAGCTGTGAGAGCGAGGCTGTACCGGCTGGGGAAGTAGGAGCACATGGTGATGAGCATGTTGAGGATGAGCGTGGCCAGATCCGTCTCGTTCATCACGGCCTGTCCTGCGGCCAGCAGACTCCACTTCAGCTGTGGGATAGCCTGCAGCGGCCGCCAGCCGTCCATGCCCTGAGCCCAGCAGCGTGTCTTGGCCGTCAGCGTCCCGGCGCTCCAGAACTCCTGCATCTGAGCACACAGAAGAAGAGCTTCAAGCCCGGATCACCTGCACATGCTCCAGCTGCGGTGTGAACACGCTCACCTCCTCAAAGCCGAAAGGCCCTCGCCTCTCTTTATCTGCGTTCCCGAAGTACCACTCCTTCTCGCTCTCACGCTTCATGTCTGGAGAAGCCTCCAACACATTACTCTGAAAACAACACACAGACCCATGAACAGATACTTTAACACCTGGACATTAGAGGGTTATGTTAAAGGGACATTAACAAGTGACATTACACACATCATAAACATACCACGGTTTAAAAAATGTTCTCTTCTGATCATCAAGGCTGCATTTATTTGATAAAAAATGCAGTAAAAACAGTGAAATATTATCATAATTCCAAATATCTGTTTTCTATGTGAATATCTGTTAAACTGTAATGTATTTCTGTGATGCGCAGCTGTATTTTCAGCATCATTACTCCAGTCTTCAGTGTCACATGATCTTCAGAAATCATTCTAATATGCTGATTTGCTGCTCAACAAACATTTCTGATTATTATCAATGTTGAAAACAGTTGTGCTGCACAATATTTTTGTGGAAACTGTGATACATTTTATTTTTCAGGATTCACAGATGAACAGAAAGTTCAGAAGAGCAGCATTTATTTGAAATATAAATCTTTTGTAACATTATAAATATCTTCACTGTCACTTTTGATCCATTTAATGCGTCCTTGATGAATAAAAGTGTTCATTTCTTTTTTTTTTTAAACACCTCTTTTGCCTCCAGGCTTGTGAGCAGCAGTGTATTTTAGCAGTACCTGCAGCGGGACAGTGGCTCTGTTGGTGTGAAGGTGAGCGAGGGTGAGCACATCCACTAGTATACGCACTCCGTTAGAGTCCATCACATCCTTCACATTTTTCTGTCAGAACAGAAATAGCAAAATACTGAATGCCTGATAAACTGTTCCCACGACACAGGAGCTCTGAGGTTTATTAGCAGATTTGGGACGATGTGACGCGTCACTCACCTTGTTGAGGATGAGTTTGTTGAGGAAGAGGATGAGTCTGTCTCTCTCCAGCTTGTCTGTACACTGGAGATGAGCAACAACACGAGATTAAGACAGTTTGATTCTAGTGGCGTATGATTATGACACATCACTGAAGTGAACTGCAGCAGCACTGTAACTTCAGTGCGATCTAGCGCTGGACACTGACCCGGTCCAGCATGCCCACGATGTACTTGGTGTCAGCAAACGGTCCGATCTCCTCGCAGCACTTCCCGTAGACGATGGTGAGCGCCTGCAGACACAAACACTTCATGGCCACTTTAGGAGTCAGCAGGAAGCGATGGTAGAGCTCGTTAAAGAACTCGTACCTAGAGAACAACACAGACGGATGATCAGGATACTGTTAACGAGATGCACACGGTTCAGCATCTGTGTTCAGAAACCTACGATCTCTTGATGGCTCCAGACTCCTTGCTCTCATCCTCCTCCAGCAGCAGACGCAGGTAATAATCCCCGATCTTAATCTCGTCAGAGAGGCACTCGTACTTCACCTGAACACAGTTCAACAGGCTTTTACTTTCAGATGATCCGTTCTAGCGGTGATTTACATGCTATAAACTAGCGTTGTCAAAAATATTGAACTTTGAAATAAAGCTGTTTTTCAATACTTACATTATTTGTTTTATGTATTTTCTGTCTTAAAGTTTTATTATTATTATTATTATATTCAAATTGCTTGGCTTCTGTTCGACTGAGACGCTGTCACAACAAAAATCACACCAGACTGGCTTTCATTAAACTTTAGAATCTATAAAAATTAATGACTTTTATGCCCTTAACAGTTTTCCCCCATGACACTGTACACTCAACATATCGCATCAGAGTCAGACGTTCCAGTATTGTGACAGCACTGCTCTACTCAGACTCCTGTAGGGTTTCTCCAGTGTTTCTGATGTGAAGCGCAGACCTCGAACTCCTGGTGGTTCCAGGAGATGACGCTAGCGCTGCCAAGCTCGCGGTCCACACCGAAGGAGCGCATCTCTGCCTCCAGAGCGTCCCGCAGCTCCTCACGCGTCTTCAGGTTCCAGATCAGGTTAGAGCGAGCGTGATCCAGCTGGAACCTGCACACAAGCACGAGCGTCACACACTCTGATAAACCCACAAACAGAACTCACATTCATTAAAGCAGCTTGTTTACTTGTAGTAGAAAAGCTCCCAGTTGGACTCGATCTTGATCCGCTGCCGTCTCTTCCTCAGGATGACCGGCTTCTGGTTTGCGTTCTGCAATCAGTAACAGAGAAGGAATCAAGCGGCTCTCGGTCGATCTCTACAGCACGTTCTGCATATAATATTGGTTTAAGAGAGAAATACAGCTATTATGGGATGTAAGGATAATGCTGATGACACCAGAGCTGTGAAATGATCAACACGTGATATGAAGTTACAATCCTGCTCTAAAAACTGAAGAGACATGCCAACTGATCTAATACAGTCAGTGTGCAACAGCTACGAGACAGCAGAACGAAAACACACGTGTTACATGAGACAGAGTGACTGACATGAGAAAGGGAGGGGCTAACAGAGAGAGAGGCTCTGATTGGATAAAACTACTCACCAGGTTATTCCTGTCCTGCTGCATTGATTGACAGCAGAAACCACAATAAGAGCCGATGGGGGGCAGAGATAAGAGAGGTTATTGGTCCTGAGGTCAACCAATCACACCAGCCATTTCTAATGAACACTGTGAATCTCAATGAAGCTGGCTTTTGGTGGCAGGTGCGTGAATTTGCGTGATTGGAGGCTCAAGAGCAAAGAAACGATGATGATGATGATTGTGCAGCTCATGCTGATGATACCAAAGCTGTGCCTTCTTCTGCAGCTCATGCTTCACATCAACAAATCATGTCATCTTGGGTTTACGATGGAGATTAGATGACATCAATGAATGCAAATCTCAAAATAAATATCCTTTTTTTATACTGTACATTATGATTTGATGCCTAAATTCATGCACTTAAAATTATAGATAGGGTTGGGTATCATTTGGGTTTTTTTCGATACCGGTGCCAAAACGATACTTTTAAAACGGTTCCGGTGCCTAAACGGTGCCTGAACCGATACTTATTAAAAAAAAAATAAATAAAAATTCCCCCAAAAATGATGGATTGGCCATTAGCACTATAAACAACACATGGGACAAATATTTCAATCGATCGCTCAGGCATGGCATCTGCGTTTGATTCGGTTCTAGTACATACAGGTTGCATAGGTACCAGTGCCATATTGGTACCGGGTTTCGGTACCCAACCCTAATTATAGACTAAAAATTGTTTTATCAATCAATAGCCTATATATTAAATGGACAGAAAAAAAATGGCATATAATTATGACAACATTAATTGATCAGCTTACTGGCACTGACTGGAATTTTATCCGTTTTTTTTTTTAAATCAGTGTGTCCCTATTTTAGCCGTGAGATGACGAGCAGTGCTATCAGATACAGAAACAGGCACAGTGAAGGTCTGCAAATGTTTAGCTGGCTACGAGGACTTCATCAGATCTCGAGCAAGCCATGTTTGAGCATTTATTAGTAAAGACCAGAGACAGAAGATTAGAGAAACCCAACAGAGCCTGTGTTGAAGAGCTGTCTGAACAGCATCCACAAACAGACCAGCAAAATGAGAAACAGCCCAGCTCTTGCAGTGTTAACATGCCTAGCCTTTACAAACCCACTGGAAGCCGCAGCCAACAGCACAAACCTGACACAGAGCAGAGAGAGGCAGACGGCGCTCACCTCCTTCTGAGCGATGCCCATCTTATCTCTCCAGTGCAGCAGCACGATGTCGGCCTTCTCTTTGGCGAACTTCTCCACCTCTTTAGCAGCTTTACCCGCGATACGCTGCCACTCCGGGACTTTATTCCTGCCAAACTGGTCCTGCAAACAAACATTACTAATGGATTGATGTGTATTAAAGGTGCAGTATGTAATATTGACAGCTGGAGCATGAAATGAGCAATGCAAATCAATCGGTCCAAATTCATAATATTGGAGAGCGTTGTGTCTCCTGCTCCGACTCGACGCTCACGCAGGTTGCCAGATTGAGGACATTCAACAAGAACGAGTTGATTTAACTGTGTTTAATATTGCTCTGGTCATAGAGATTTTTAGGTGGATGCCGAGGCTTTTTAGGTCGGGTAGAATCTGCGATCTCTGACCCAGTTCATTTGCTGGCTTCCACGTCTGCAGTACGCTGTGTTTTCCCACCACTGGCACCCCAAAGTGTCAAAAACTGGCAGGGGGCGGAGTCACACAGACCAAACAAAAACAGGCATTCTGACAAGGAACAGCCCAGCTCTTGCAGTGTTAACATGCCTAGCCTTTACAAACCCACTGGAAGCCGCAGCCAACAGCACAAACCTGACACAGAGCAGAGAGAGGCAGACGGCGCTCACCTCCTTCTGAGCGATGCCCATCTTATCTCTCCAGTGCAGCAGCACGATGTCGGCCTTCTCTTTGGCGAACTTCTCCACCTCTTTAGCAGCTTTACCCGCGATACGCTGCCACTCCGGGACTTTATTCCTGCCAAACTGGTCCTGCAAACAAACATTACTAATGGATTGATGTGTATTAAAGGTGCAGTATGTAATATTGACAGCTGGAGCATGAAATGAGCAATGCAAATCAATCGGTCCAAATTCATAATATTGGAGAGCGTTGTGTCTCCTGCTCCGACTCGACGCTCACGCAGGTTGCCAGATTGAGGACATTCAACAAGAACGAGTTGATTTAACTGTGTTTAATATTGCTCTGGTCATAGAGATTTTTAGGTGGATGCCGAGGCTTTTTAGGTCGGGTAGAATCTGCGATCTCTGACCCAGTTCATTTGCTGGCTTCCACGTCTGCAGTACGCTGTGTTTTCCCACCACTGGCACCCCAAAGTGTCAAAAACTGGCAGGGGGCGGAGTCACACAGACCAAACAAAAACAGGCATTCTGACAAGGAACACACATTTCAAAGTAACTGGCTGTAAAAACAAATGTGAACTTGGCATGTTTCCTAAATATCTGTAAACATATATTTTTATGCTTAAGTACAGACAAGGGATTTTGTGGTGTTTAGCTGTTCATAAAGTGTTTGTTTTTTTCAGATTACTGGAAAGAAAACATCCAAAATACACATTTTTTTTTATATACACAAGTATTTATTTTATTGCACTTTATCGATTTGCACCTGTAGATTTAATTTCTAATCCATATCTTTAAAGAGTTTTTTTCTCTTACAAGCACCAAACTCTACAGTTTTATTCCTCTCTGTACTCTGAAGGTTTGTTTATATTTCATTCACACTGATTTAAACAACATTTTAATCCTAAAACCTTGGTGAAAATGTGTTTATTTTTCGGTCTGTTGACAGTATTTTCTGATTTATGAAGTGATAAAAACAAGAATTTGAACCTGGCTTTATTCAATGTTCAGATTTCTGTTCTGAAAATGTATATTAGAGCATATTTAATTAGAGAATACCTCATTTGCATATTTAAACGTAACATTTCAGGAAACTTGCAATACACAAAATGGTTGCAATTCTTAAAGTAATCAATATATTGGAGAAGTATGGTAAGACTGTTTATCAGTATTTATAAAGCACATATTCTGCATCGCTAATCTTACCCAATAACTTAACAATTACCTTAACTATTAATAAGCAGCAAATTAGGAGTTTACTGAGGCAAAAGTCATAGTTAATGGTTAATAGTGAGAACTGGACCTTAAAACAAAGTGTGACCGGTGAGATTAGTTAAAAGTTTACCCGATTCATCCTATATTTGCTTAAAAGAGGAGATCTGAGAATAAGGCTAGCAGGCTAGTCGCTCGTACCGTGGCAATCTTGACGTTGTCACGTATGTGCATCCTATCGACGTCCTTCTCAGGCACGGGGTCAGAGCTGTCCAGATACGCCAGCAGACCGGTGGGCTGAAAGACAGACAATGATTGAGGATTTCAGTGTTGCTTCTAGAAGAAAAGCACTCGTGAATGTCCAGTCCGCTCACCAGGATCCTCTTGAGCAGGTTCAGGGCCGTGGAGTTTTCTGCGGTCCACAAACCCACCAGATGACGACTCAGCTGCCTGCGTGTGAGAAGACAGTGATCAGGCCTGCGTTACAGTGTGAGATGGTCAGTCTGAGCTGAACTGACCTGTTGGTGAGCATCCGCTGGTCAGCGCTGATGGTGAACATGGAGGTGTGCAGGTGTCTGGGAAGAGCTCCTTCACTCAGAGCCAGCTCCTGCATCTTACTAGCGATCTCCTTATCTCCCTCCTAACAGACGACACGCTCGGATCAGACACAGAGAGAAACACACAGACACACTGGAGGAACAAGGGCAGGACTCACCTCAATGATGGCCTTCATGATCAGACCCGCGCCTTTGACGATGGCCATAGACGGATGCTGTGACAGAAGGACCAAATACATGACTGTTCAAAAGAAATGAATGCTTTTATTCATCAAGGATGCATTAAAGGGATAGTTCAGCCAAAAATGAAAATCAGCCTGATTTACTCCGCCACAAGCCATCCTAGGTGTGTATGACCTTCTTCTTTCAGACGAATCCAATCAGAGCTATATTAAAAACTGTCCTGGCTCTAGTCATCGTGCATCGGCTGCAGAAACACACAGGCCATGTGTTACGATGCAGACGTTAATGTGAATCCAGAGGTTTAGCGAGCTTCACTTACACACATGAGAGCACACAGCATGTCTATAGCTGCGTGCGTCACGCCGTTGTGGTTTCTCTTCAGTGCTTTAACAGTTTTCACTCCCAACTTCTCTCTAAACCTGAAATACAACCCAAATAATGTTAAAATATTTATTTGTAATATAAACATGTATATAGACAACCCAGAAAAAGAAAAAAAAAAATAACTGAAAAAAAAAAAAAGCCATTTCTAATAATCCATTGAATATTTGCAGGTTCAATACAAATACTGAATGAATCCTAGATGTATAAATAGTGGACAGGAGCACAACCAGTCAATTCATACATCTCAGTGACCCATAAATAATGAAATATGACAGAAAGATTACAGAGAGAGAGAGCAGGCGTAAAGCATTTAAACAAAAAAAGAGGAAATGTAAAATGGCAAATAAATGAAGATTATCTTAAAATGGTTTCAGACTAACCCAAAGGAGGGACAGATGGACAGAAATGAGAAAGAAAAGGGGCACACTGAGATATATGGACTAATATTTACATTGCGGCTTCGAGTCCACCCATGGGACCAAACAACAAACAGAACACAGTTACTCGAGTTTACAACCAATTGACAAATTATTTTCTTTTTTATTGAATGGATTCTTTACACCTCCACAAATTACTTAAACTCATATAAATGAGTTATTTTAGTTTTTAGTATGTTTTCATTTTTAAACTTTTTAAATAACTATAGATGCATCGTATCTTTCATTTTTGGGGTAAGATTTTTGTAATATTTCAGAATGAAGTCTCTTCTGCTCACCAAGGCTGCATTTATTTGATCAGAAATACAGTAAAAACAGTGAAATATTATTACAGTGTAAAGCAGCTGTTTTCTATGTGAATCTCTGTTAAACTGTAATGTATTTCTGTGATGCGCAGCTGTATTTT